CCCCAAAGGAGATTGGAAGCAGTTAGGATCTCTGTCTGCAGATCATTTCAGAGAATGATGGAATATAGCTGGCTGCTTGAAAAAGGTTGGAGAGGGCTGGATTTGATTCTGAATTTGGGAAGGATATACACTGGGAACTGGGAAAACACCAAAAAGCTACAAGAATTTGCCTGTGATTTGGTTGGGGGGAGGGGAAGGCTGTGATGATGTACTATGGTATAGGACATGTTCCCTTCTAGTAACAGCATCAATGCCAGTAGATGCTTGAATATGGGGGGAGGACTATTTCTGTTTGTTCCCTCTATCTGCTCCCTTAATGTCACTCGTATCTCTCGTTTCCTTCCAGTTCTGGCAATTTTGAGTTGTTCTCTGGTGCTGCCCTGCCCTGCCCTGCCTTCTGCCTAATTTCTCTCTGGACTAGAAGCTGAGAGAGACCATGGCAGGTAAGGATGAATCTCTTCTTGAGCTCTTGGTGGTTTTTTTTTTTCATGAAGAGGCTTGGTGCTTTCCTCCATGTAATAAATATGCTGTCCCTTGCAGTTGAGTTAGCCTGGTGTAGAGTCACAGATGTGACCTGTAGCCTGGGCTGAAGTGAGAAGAAATGTGGTGGGGGGGCGTGTTTTGTGTTTTTATTAAATTTGTGCAGAAGATCCATGAAACATAGGCACAAAACATGGCTGTACTACTTTTAGTGCCACTTCAAGAGCAGATGTACTCACACAAATTATGTCTGATCAGTTAGGAGGAACCTGGCCTTGTATTAGGCCTGTCCATTAATCAATATTTGAAATCTCTTCTTGCAGAAAAAGTGAACAATTTTCCTCCCCTCCCCAAGTTCATCCCCTTGAAGCCATGTTTCTATCAGGATTTCGATGCCGAGATCCCCCCACAGCACCGCAGCATGGTCAAGCGTCTTTACTACCTCTGGATGCGTGAGTTACTGGGTCAAGTACCTTGTACCTGTAGGAGGGAGAGGCATTGGGTGGGTGTGTATGTAGGGTGTGGGTGGGTATGGAGTCCGTGGGGAGCTGTGTGTGGGGGCAGGTGCCTGGCGTTTGTGTATGGCAGTGCAAACGGGGGTGTGGGTGCATGTGTATGGTGGGGGGGGGTGTGGGACTCACCCTATGAACACACACAAAGTGTGCCTTTCTCTGCACACACACAAACACTGTGTGCATTTCTCTGTGCACACACACACTGTGTGCCTTTCTCTGTCTCTCCCCTTCCCTCATTGCACAGGCACAGACACAAACACACACAGTCTCTCCCTCCCTCATTGCATGGACATAGACACACACACAATCCCCTCTCCTACTCCTGGCCTTGGGGTACTGGCACAGCCCCATGTAG